GAAACATATTTTCAATGATCAATGATCAATTTGCAATGCTCAATTATTATTATTGCTTATTATAAAACCTATAGCACTTTTTCCGCGTTTCAATAAAATTCGAACAGGATTCGAACAGGATTCGAACAGGATTCGAACAGGATTCGAACAGGATTCGAACAGGATTCGAACAGGATTCGAACAGGATTCGAACAGGATTCGAACAGGATTCGAACAGGATTCGAACAGGATTCGAACAGGATTCGAACAGCTTCTAAGATTCGAACAGGATATAAAATTCGAACAGGATTCGAACAGGATTCGAACAGGATTCGAACAGGATTCGAATAGGATCATTCAATAATAGAAATGTTTATTTATTTTTATGAACATCTTCAAAACATTACATTATTACATTATGTTACAACTTTATGAAAATTTCAATATTTTTCCCACAATTGTTATAAATTGCTTCAATATCATTAAAAAAATGTATAAGAAAAATTTAAACGTTTAAATGTTATAATTGGCGTAAGATATTTGACGTTTCTCTCAGTCCATAGGCGTCCACGAATTTTTTTTTTGGGGCAGGCAACCCGAAAAGGGCCGTCCTTAACGTGTTAAATAATTAAATAATTTCAAATATTTAATCTGTTTAGTATTTGTGTTTCTGTCTACTATATTAACTAACAAATATATATATATGAGATTTGCAACGTGCGTCTGGCTAGTACAGAGTTACGTTGTAATTTGCATTCAACGTGTCTAGATGATTGTATTACATCTCACGTGTTAATTAGTAAAGGCCAATATAATATGACTACAATAGAGATCAATACTGATCACACAAAGGTATAATCTATCAAATACTTAAATTCGATATAATTATAACAGAAATTGAGAAATAGTTTAGAAAGAATCTCAAATATTAAGTAAAATATATCAATTACATAGTTTATTTACTATTTATATTTAGAGATGATATAGAACAAAGTTTGTAAAGTTTTTGAATCGAATTTACACGTTTATTAATGTTTTTTTTTTAATTTTGTCTTATTGTATTATGTTTATTATAATGATACATATATGTATAAATTTAACAAAATATATTTATATTTTTTTTATTCTATTTGTATGTATCTTTTAGTGTTGAGTAATCATCATAATTTTTTTCGTTCCACGTAGAAAATTTGCTACAAATTACATAAGAAATAAAAATGTACGTAAGAAATTTGCTATAAAAATAAACTAAGAATATGTGTATTCAACTTAAGAAAGTTAAGCAACGTGTGACACGGATAACACTGGCTTTCTTGTACTATTTGTAATCTTAGGAATTGCGCTTTCTTAGAAATTAGAGTAATTTATATAGAAACATTGCACTATTCATATTTATATAATATATTGGGAATTAGATATAGAAATGACGGAAACCTACTAACAGACTCAGTGCAATTACGTGCAATAAAGAATATTTAACAGTTACTTTCATAATGGGATTTTCATATAAGTTGGAACAAAGTTGTCGCTCTGTTTCTACATAATTAGCTTAAGAACAATTTGGGACAATTTGAGTCTTTAAAATTTAAATAATTGATAAAGAAAGAATGGATTGATATTTTGATGACTTAATGCATTGCTATAAGGATTATTCGAGTATTTCTAATAAATTTCAGAATACAAGGAAACGAGTTCGTTTCGATTTCATAATATTAGAAATAACGATGTGCAGTAAATCATTGTCGCGCGTGAAAATAAATATAATTAAATGTCGTCATTGACGTCACTGAAATGTGTATGTGTGTGTATATGCAATGCAACGTGCCGGACTGTTTGAATTTTTTGAAAACCGTTTAAAAATAGAAACTTTGTGGAGGAGACCGACGTGCTGCCATCCATGATATGCGCTGAAAACCTGAAATTTTTCAGCATCCGACGGTAGATGTCACTAGATGTTCGTCGATCCCGCATTTCAGGAATGCTATATTTAAATGCACAGTATTATTAATAAACCGTGCTAATATTGGAATGTAGGCTACCTTTAATTTTATTCCAGATGCTAATTTTAATCGACGGTCAATTATATTTAACATTATTTTAAACTCAGCTCATTTCGTTCTTCCTTTTTTTTCTATTGAACTTTATGTGGTTTTTGATTAATTGCACGCATTTGTCAAGCAAACGATATAAGTCAGCATGCAGGAAACACTGTATTATCTAATTCTACAAAGAAAAATAATATATATATTTATATTATTACAAAAAGAATTATGTTCATTTTACTATAAATTTATTCCAACTGAACATATTTGCACAATATCATTAATTATGATCATAAATTTATTATGATTTATATTCAATGTATTACATTCAATTTCCGGTATTTATGTAATTTTTAGTTTTTAGCATGTGACAAATATTTCTGAATAATGTTACATTTATACGTATAATAATCAGAATAATCAGAATTTCTGAAATGGTTTTTATTTATCAATATCTTTAGTTACATAATAGTTTATCAATTTTCACTGATATACCATAAAAGTAATATGATATTAAAACGAAAATATAAAGTGCACTTTATACAAAATTAAGATTTTCAGTTTAGATTTTGTTGTAATTTAAAAGTATTTAACTAATATAAAAAAAAATATATAGATATTAAAAGTACTTTAGACAGAAAACCAAAGTCGACAACCCTTTGACTATCTGTTAATTAGAATTATTATTTTTGGGTCTAAATTGCAATTTATTAATAGAATTTTGAATTATATATTTCTTGCATAATTCCAGTTGTTGAAATTTATCTAAATCATATCAATTTATAAAATAATAATAAACACAATTGTATAACTACATACAAAGAGGTTTTTTTTTCAAATCTTTATATATTTATATGCAATTTTCTTCAAGAAAACGAACCAAAAAACATATTGCGATTTAAAAAATTAATATTATACTTTACCTGAAAAAAATTCCCGAAGAAATCTATTCATTATATTATATTTTTTTCTTCTTCATCTCCCTTTCAAGCGCAGAAAAAATATATATATGAAATATTAAAAAGTCGTTAAGAAATGTTTGCTGACTCCTGAAAGAATCGTTCACCGCGTATATTATGAAAGCTCGTTTCCGCCTACTGCGTGAAATTGTTGAAGGCTGGCGAAAAATGCTTATTCCAAGAAATGAACTCAATCACTTCATCATTTTTACTTTCTTTACTCTAAAGAAAAAAATCGTGAAACTTTTAAGCAATTTGATTGAAAAATTGAAATGTGATTATTATTAATAATAATAATTTTAGTAACTCATATGTTCCTGTACGATTATTGCATTTAATGCACAATCAATCAAATTTTAACAACGAATCAGACAAAAATATAAATATGTTTAATAGAATATTCTTATATGAAAAAATGTATTGTTAACGATGTCCATAAATAAATAGTCATAGGACGTAATAAATCGATGTATAAATACATCTTAACCCTGCTTAACGTCGAGACTAATAATTTAGACACTTTCCGTAAGGCCGCACCGCCCCGCCTCGTAATATCGCTCAAACGTGCGTCCTTTAACAAAGTGACTTGCAAAAGTGTTTTTTGTTTTCACTACTTTCTACATGTTTAGTGAATCGATATCAATAATTAAAAATGTTTTTGAATGATGAAAATTTGCAAATTGTTTCAATATTGTATAACAATTTCAATAGTTCAGTGTAATAATGAGCGCGTATAAACTTACAGGTTGTGCTTGTGGTAAACAATCGATTTCCATCGTTCATCCCGAAAATGTCCAGACTGACGTAATAATCCAAAAGTCGAACATAAAATTTCTTCGGTTTACGATTGTAGCCATAATATTAGTATTACTATATGCTATGCCGTTGCTATTAATACTTTAATAGTCGCAATTATGTTTTTATCGTCCATAGGTAAAACAATACCTAGAATTGTATTCGGGCGCTAACTTGATTTATCTCTGGAAGTTTCATGCTTAAAAAATTGTTGATATATCATAGCATCTCATATATATATTCATCTTGTTATTTACGAAAAAGAAAAAAGAGTGAAGAAATGAAATAAAATTGAAAGCAGTGCTTGAACATGCGTTGAAGATGTTAACGTTTAATTTGCTATTAGTAATGTTGAAATGGTTGAATAAAGAAGGGAGCGAGATGCGTCGTGCATCGTCAGGTAGTCTGAAATTCAGAGAAATGAACAAGATATAATCCTCACAGTACTTGCTAATTTCAGTCTAGCCAGTTGGGTGTCTCTTGCCAAATAGGATATTTTTGTTTCGAAGTGGCTGCCTGCTACTGTACCGTGGCAGTAGAGTGGCCAGCAAAGTGGACTTAAGGTGATCGCGCACATTTCGGGAAATATGATTAAGAAGAACTTCTTGTTTGCCGTTCGTGGTTTGACTTTTCGCGAGATGAAAATGTCAGTGAGTGTTTAAGAGTTTATCACCTAATGGAATTACGATTTGCAGAGGCCAATTATTATAAAATCCCGTGATGTAGACCTTCTTCTGGCCCACGCAAAGTTACGAATAGCGTGAGCACACACACACACACTCGCTCACAAAAATGCCAAAACCAACAAATCCGACGACCAAATTCAACAAATAAAAACGTATTATTAATATTCACATATATATATATATATT